GCGTTAAGAAAGCCCATCCTGGTCTTGTCAAACCGTAGTTAACGTGTACCAGGGGCTCCAAGTTCCGATTCGATGAGACGCTTGCGGAGGCCTGCCAGACTCTGGGGTCAAAGGTCAGTCAATCGAGACTTGCTTGACGCGATGCCCTCATCTGGAATGATGTTTCTGGAACCCAAAACTCCCTTTCTCGAGATAGCAACTTTATTCAGTTTCTTTGGCCTAGCTAGATAGCCTTGGAACATTTACGTGGTGGTCGAAATTGTTTCAAAGAGCACCTAGAAGTCCTCCAACTCGTCAAAGCCTGGGCTAAAGGAATGAGTTGAGCCTGCGAGGACAAAAGGGAGACCATGGAGAGCCCTCAAGAATCAAACGAATTGAGAATTGCTTCGTTCTGCAGCCTTCTGATGGACCAAATCTGAAATTTCTGCACGGATTCGTATGGCTGTTGCGTCTAGGATGACGTTTGAGTCACGAACACACACAGTAGGAAAATTGTAATGGTCAGTTTTCCCTCCTGAGAGCTGATACACTCGGCCGGCTTGCAAAGTGACTCAAGCGAAATGGGAGCAGTAGCCATTCGACCCTCCCCCTGCAGGACAGCACCTCCCCAGATTTGTATGCAAAGGCATTATATGAAAAGGACTGAGGGATCCGGAGAAGGTCTGGCTGCCTCAGAAACCCCTGGCAAGAGGAGAGGTGAAAACAAGGCATTGGTAGGTTTAAAGCGATTCTATGAATGGAAACCTAGGCTTGTGTGGCAAGTCGGGCAAATCCACTTGACCTCACTACACTTGATAATGTGGCAGAGGAGTGGTATTACGAAATTAGTGCCAATTTTACCTCAAGCCTTCTCTCAGCCATTTCAATCTTTAGCCGTCTCTGTATCCCTCGAAGGTTACAAAACGCCTCAGAAAAGCAGCTTCTCAGTTCTCCAGACGCATATCGTTCGACTGAACAAACCGGATGGCCTGGACGAGACTAGCCGACATGCAGCAGAATTTGGCTCCTACCAATTGAACCCAGTGCGTCTTCAGGGTCTCGAGCTCGGCTTAACAGCCAGCGAAAGAGGAATACATCATGACTACTTACCATACCACGTCAACATGCACATACACACGACTACATCCGCCCCAGATTCACCAGGATCAGCCTCTCTGCCGCCTTGTAGCCGCAAACTTTCCATCGAAATCAGTCCAAACGCATAAACGAGGACGTCCGTCTCAACCAGGACATCCCGCAACCTGGAGGTGGGTTCACGGCACCATCGGTGCATGTATTCAGCCCTACTTACTCTTCCATAGTATTCATGATGATTTCTAGCCCAGGACCGTCGAATTGGTTAACTTATGCAAATAGGCACACAACTTAAGCTGTGGCATCACAGGGTCATTACTACTCAATATACTGTTTCTAGACTTACCTACCTATTCTAAGCTATGAAAACCAAGATGATATGGCCCTCTGTATGGTCGCAGTCTCCTTTCGAGGTATAGAAGTGGATTGACCTCATTTTCGCAAATTGCTATTGTTGTCAGAGCGACATATTTGGACGCACCTTGTCCGAATCCTCTGCCATAGTAGTTATCATAATTCTCAGCGTCAGACCGTGGTCTTGCTATATTGCTCAGATGTTTCGCCGGCATCGTAGTCGGTATCATCAATGAGTCTTGTCATTCTCAGCACTAAGCTACAACTTATCAAATTGTCTCTGACGGGACAACTAAGTCGCCCTAGCAACAAGACCAAGTTACGAAAACTAAATCAATCCACTTCTTAACTTTATATTCCTTGCTTTTGTGAAGTAATATAAAATTTGCTCAGACTAGGTTGCTTAAGGTGACGAAGAAATGATATTATATCATATTTTTCGTTTAGAAGAAGAGTTTCGAGACTACCAGTAAATCAGATATATGATGTGTGTCTCGATACTATGCTTATAAACGAAAACTAAGAAATGTAGTTAAATGCTATAGCAAATAAAAATTTGATTCATCGACAACCCAGGCACAGAAGGTGATATGAAAAATGCCTGACCTTCCTTGAAATTCACATCTACCCGTTGACCTAAGGGCACTCGTAGTAGTGTGGCGTAGTGGTAAGTGTGTCGAGCTTGCATGCTGCACTGTAAGGGCTCGACTCCCGCTGGGGGTGCGAGGTCGAAACTGTAGTCCACTCCCGCCTGGATGAGAACAACTTTTAGAAAAGCAAGGCTATATGAAATTCAATGGAAACGTCAGGTCTACGCATACCGTTGTGGGAAAAGTCACTTTCAAATACGCATCACCTTAAGCTGCCTAGGCTGACTCACGTTTATATTCCTTTAAAAAAGCAGTGATTAGTCATTTGAGTCTTGAAATGCAGCATATTAAATAGTAAAAATCCCTTGCTATTGCAATACTACTTTGTGTCTACTTATTTAAATCAAAACGCCTTATTTTAATTTTTCCTTGTAGCATAGTCTAATATTGTGTTGATGGAACCTGAATTAGGCCGTTGCGACGGTAGAAGGAGGAATATTGGAAAGATCGGACAAGATAAAATTTTCAGAATATGAACCTAGCTAGATGAGTTCGCTTAAGCTTATTTAAGAATTGATAGTTTAGTTTTCCCACAAACTACTCATTGGGCCCCATGATGCCACTACGTTTAACTTAGCCGTGCCTCCCAAAAAGCTATCTCACTCAAAGTCGACTGCTGCCTCGAGCCCACTTTGTCTCATCTGCTCGCCCAGTAGGAATTTTTACATGTTACTTTCACACCACCCTATCACGAAACTGGGGCCGAGGATGAAGGATAACACCTTTTTTAAGTAAGGCCAAGTACATTTTAATTGCCTCCTAAGGCCTATTTATTCGGATGTGGGAAAATACACTAACAGTCCTGCATCATCTTTATCGACCTAAGCTGGCTAAAGCTCTTATTCAAAATTTACTCATAGTCTATGAAACATTCTCATCTTTCGCATTTAATTATGGTTTCGAGACTACCAAATTTCGTTTAAGGTGATGAAGAACTGATAGACGAATTTTCCCACAATGATATGAGTTGAGCTGACATTTTCAGTGAATTTCACATAGCCTTGCTTTCCCAAAAGTTGTTCTCATCCAGACGGAAGTGGACTGCAGTTTCGACC